TAAGAGACGACAAAGGAAGGGCGAGGGATGAGCAGCAGCGTCCCTCTTAAAATATCGCCAAAGCCTAACTGCAGTTGCCAATCCGCCTACCAAGCGTGACAATTATTGGCAAAACCCCCCCAAGGGGGAGGCTTATGTTCAGCAGTGGACAGTTAACGGCTGATATGATGATACTTATATATGTAAACTATACGTAGATATGTATATATTCCACACGAAACCGCATGCAATTAAATTGCAGGTAGCAGAATCATTCTTTGGTTCTCGCCCTGCTGCACCTAATTGACTATTTTAGTAATGTTGTTTTGCTTTATATTGCTTTTGTTTTGTTATTATATATCAAGCTAAAAGATGTCTCATCAAAATTTATAACTTTTTAATTATTAAAGTGTGTGTATATATATATATATATATATATATATATATATATATATATATATATATATATATATGTGTGTATGTATGTATTTTGCATATATAAAAACCGATCATTGTCATTACGCAAATGTGAAAACGATTCATGGCTTAACATAAATATAAATTTGATTATGTATTGACTGTAATTCAGCTATACGTTTTCAAAAAAATAAATAAATATATGTAACTCATTTGTAAATTTACGTGTGTCATAAATGGCTTAAATAAAAAGTTTATCTATCTATCTATCATCTACAATAATAACAAGTATATACCTCAGTTGTAGGATTTGCCAGTGGAAAATAAATGGTGGTCATCACATCTAACGTATTGATTATTAATGTCACCAGAAACTGTAATAAATCAATTTAAAATTATTGATGAAATAACTTAAATTTATTTACAATATATATATATATATATATATATATATATATATATATATATATATATATATATATATATAATTTTCTTGTACCTAAATGATAAAATTGTACAGGAACCGGACTGTAAATGGCAATAAATATGAACAAAATTAGCCACTCACTAACTACTACGATACAGGCCTGCGAGCCTGTTTAAGAAATTGTGTACCCGATTTTTAGTTACAATAAAGTTATTATACATCCCAAATTAAACGTAGATTAAAAAAAAAAGGTTATTATATATAATACATATGTTAATTATCTGCTCTCGTTTATTTGATTAGTTTATTGTTAAAACTTCACTGATTTATGTTATGGCTGTGTTTACTATTTATATGTTTTAGGTATTGTATATTTCCCTTTAAAAGTAAAAAAAATAAAAATAAAAAATACAAGTAAGTTAGCAAGATAGTTTTGCCCTTATAACTCGACCAATTACACAACACTGTGTGATATCATGTATCTCTTTTACTCACCGCACATACACCTATTACTATCCCTTTCACTCATCTTCTAGAACCTAACTCATTCTCGTATTGGTTTTATTGACAAAACAAAAATTAAAAATAATTTTGTAAGAACTTACAGTGAAATTGTAGGCACGTCTCGTATTATTTGTTTTATGCCACAACGACTTGTAAATGTTTTGACAAAAAACAACGTTCCCATTGTGATTTTCCACGTAACAAGTAAACAGTTTTAATCGATAATAAAGTGAATAGTAAATAAAGAAATAAGTAATAAGTGTGTTGTCCTCACATAATAAAGGTATAAAATACAGTATCCTCATGGACAACGACTCGACACAGAACTCTAAATAATATTTACAGTATATAAATGACAACAGTATCCTGTAAGCCACCGAATACAAAAACCCAAATACCAGATGGTAACCGAAATTGTATGTGGCATATTCTAAACTTATATCAATTATGTACAATTCGCGTTGTAAGTCAAGGAAATATATGTCCTTGTTAAAGTACAATAAAGTAAAGACACATGACAAATACTTGAGTAAATACAACGTATACCATAGAGAGAAGAAAAGCTCTAGATCAAAAAAGAAATGCCTCATAAGCAAACCGCATACGAATACTGCTTGTATTACAAGTAGAAACTTTACAGCTAACGTTATTTTTCTCGAATCATACTTAACAAATCCGTAGTCTAAAGAAAATATGATATATAACGCGGTGAAAAACACTCTCAGACTTCTTAATTTACAGTAATAATTCTCTGGTATATTTAATAAAGTGTTGTCCCGAATCATAATCGAGAAAGTGTTGGGACAAAAACCAAAAGTTGATCAACGCGACGAACCTGTTACAGAAACTACACTCTACTGAAATGTGTTACCGTTGTCGTTTTCCATTTACTATATTGCTTTCGTTCATTGCCTTTATTGATAGAATTACTATTTACATTTGTGAGACTGCTAAAGAATTTGACACGCTGATAACAATAACCAGATAAATAATAGCTGATAAATTAACCAGAGTGCCGGCGGTTAACTCGCCCCCTGCCATGGATAGATTCTAATATACCTACTCGACGAGATATGGTCATGTGAAATAGAAATACCTACAACATCTAAAGTCGATAAATGGGGGGAGAAGGGATTGTTAGTAATGGGGATTAGTAGGCCCCTTGCTAGCATTATACCCTATCAGGTCGACCTCCTCGTGATTCCCCCTGGAAACTAACATGATTAATTTATTGTTAGATTCGTCACGATGGGCTAACTGACCTGCTTCATCCTCACCTATCATCTGGTGCCGCCCTGCTAGGGTATATCGATAGCGCAGACAGGGTTATCATTTCATTATAATCCATTAAAAAAAAAAGTCGATAATTGCCTCTGACTATCCCGTAAAATATTATAATCGTAAATATATTTATTATATATTGTCAAATACACATTATATTTTAATGTAATCAATAGAGGTTTAACTTACGCGTAATTTGGTCGAGAATTCTCGACTAGTTTCGGTACCATTCGGGTATCCGGAATCCTTTCTCTTGAGTCTTGCCCTTCAAACTCAAAGATCTTCGACCGTCATCTTTTTTATCTTTGACGGTATAGTAAACTACTACAGCTAACGCTCTGCAAGCCGAGACACACAGGCTCGCGTTCGCGTCACAGCCATCCAAGACTAAAAATCCGGGATGGACCCGAAACTAGTCAAGCTCTCTCGACCAAATTACACGTAAAATAAACCGATAGTTATTACATTAAAATATATTTCCTTTATTACTCACCATATTTGTAATTACTTTTCTTTTCTAAAAAAAAAACAATATATTTATTTACTTAACTCTTTATTGTACCATAAATAAAAATATACAATGAAAAGTGAATAATTCAAGTGAAATACAGTAACATATATACAGATTGAAATATACACATAAAAGTACAAAAGGCGGTCTTGTCGCTAACCTATAATGCACAAAAATATCAAATACATGTAATTTATTAAACTACAAACACATATAAATACATATAAACACATATAAATACATACATAGCACACACAAGGAAATATGACAAATCTAGTCCAAAAATTACAAAGGAATGGAAAAGAGTAACTACAGTGAAAGAAAATGTGATTTGACTGGTCTTTTTGTCTCCATTATTATAAATATTCATTAAATTGAAAAAAAAATTACCTTTATTTTTATGCAACTAAAAAGGGCAAACAAGCTGACGGCCCACCTGATGGAAAGTGGTAACCGTCGCCTATAGACATGAACAATACCATGGACATAACAGAGTATAACTGTATCACCTAAATACCCTTCATGCGTTACCATTCCTAAGAATGCAAACACAGTAAATAATGAATGTAGCTGAAATTTTAAAATACTTCAAGGGTACCAACATAATAAAAAAAATTGACTATCAAACTCTACAGACCCGCGAAATTTTAAACATTCTCCTTATTTTCTGAACACACCTCGTATACCAATCACACAGATAAAACCGTATTTAAAGACTAGTAGAATAATAAAATATGAAATAAATCAGCGTAATAATATAGTAAATCTCAACAAGGTTGGGGAAAATCAATAAATTTGTAGCTCTGAATATAATAATATTTATTCGAGAAAGCACTAGAATGGCTTGCACGTGTAACTCTGTGGGATGCTCCGTTCGTCCTAGAACTTGAATGCCAAGGCTAGATCTAACTTCGCATAAAGGGAACTGTAATATATTACATTATTAACCAGCGTGTCGCCTACACAGCTATTTTATGTAGCGTAAAGAAAAATATTCAATTTATTCAAATTAAAAAGAAACATTTTACAATTTACGCCCACATGACTGCGGTAACTGACTAATATAAAGAGTAGGCTATGTTATTCTCCATTCCATCATGATCGTCATATCAGCCATTTATTTTTCACTGCTGAATATAGGCCTCCCCCTTATGGGGGTTTTGCCAGTAGTTGTTATGCTTGGCAGGCAGATTAACAACCGCAGTTAGACATTGATGATGTTTTTAAAGGGACGCTGCTGCCCATCCCTCGTCCTCTCTTAGTTGCCTTACACCCACGGTAAAGAAAAGGGTGGCCTCTTCTATGCCGGGTGTACACGGAAATGATTAGCTATAATTATTATATATATTGTTAAAGCATTAACAATATGCAATGAATATTATTCACTCCTGCGTATAATGAAGCGGTTTCAGCGGTAAAACCAATGGACGACTGCTAAGTTATTAATAGATAATCACGCACAACATCAACCAGTCACAAGAGCCGCTCATCACGACATCGCAAGAACGCCAATCATAACGCAGGAGAAATTTACATGACCTTTCAGATTTCAAAATTGTAACTGACTTGCAAAACAACCTTCAGCGCATTACATTAAATTTATATTACATCAACGCTTCAAATTATTATCTATTTTTATTTACCCTAGTTAAATAGCTGCAAATACTAGGTGTATTTATTCATCATCATCATCATCATCATCATCATCATATCATCTGTTCATCATCAAAACGCAAGCGCACATCATTAACAATATATATATATATATATATATATATATATATATATATATATATATATATATATATATATATATATATATATATATAGTATTTTGGTTGTTTAAACTAATTTCGACTCTTATCGATTAATTCCTCATGCAATAGAACTTCTTGATAAAATCTGTCTCAATTAAAATGACTGCATTATTTCACATTCCGAATCCTCGTGCACAATAATCTGTATTGTCTTTGAAGGCAACGTATATTTGCCCATTTCGAGCCAAGGACTTATATTAATCTTTGTATATTTTATACCGTCAAGTATCATTTTGGTCGATATACGAATTAATGTTATTATTAATGCCAATATAAAAAAATCAACAACGTTAATGTACTCTTTTAGAAATTTAGCAATTGCGTAACACTGATGCAGCTCATATTCAAGTAAAATGTCACACGGGGAATCCAGGATCGCTAAGGGTACCGACAAGCATATTAATGGGCAAATCACTGATAATAACATGGTCACATAGAAATTATACGTCTGATCTACTTTGAGTTGAGTCTTGTGTTCCACTTTTTTTTTCTTTTTTAAAAGCTTCATAAGCAGCTCTTCCCGAGGCGATGGTTTATTTAATCCGAAATATTCGATAAACCTGAAATTAGAAACAATTAACGTTGATAAATACATGAATAACTAATCTTTATTATTTCCTGTAAAGGTTCAAACTGAATAAATGAAACTGAGTAATTAATATATAATTTTGTATGCTAGCCACTTTTTTTTTATTTTATACTTATAAACTGTTACTAAGAAAGTAAGAAACACGCCAAACCTGTTTACATATATTTAATGCTCAATATAAGATTTATTAATAAACAGTACACACTTACGTACATAAACTTACTTTACAAAAGTAACAATCCTAGCAAATTTTTTTAATTGACCCTTCTGTAATATCTATTCACCCCAACCTCGGAGTATATAGAAAATAAACACATTTTATAAAATTTTAAGGAAACCGGGCTATTTAGTTAATAATATGTGGCCAAATTTTATAAATTATGATCCATGTTGTTAATGTTAATGTATAGTAACATTTGATGTATGCTGAATACATTAACCTAAAAAATTTGAATCGAAGTTTTAAATTGTTCCTATTCACCCCGTTTTACCGTACCCGGTATTTTGAGAGCTATGATTCAGTGACATCATAACATATAATTTTACTATCATCTCTCAGTCTCAAACCAAAATACAAAACAAAAAACAACGTCTTAATGACACAGAACAGAGGTATGTTATGATGAAAATAACTTGTACATGTAAAAAGTATTCCTTTAGTAAAGATAGTCTAAATTAATATATAACTTTTGCAACTTAAAATGACAAACAAGCTGACGGCCCTTCTGGTGGAAATTGGTAACCGTCGCCTATAAACATAAGCAGTACCATGAACATAACAGAGTATACTGTTTCGCCCACGATACGCCCCATACGTTGCCATTCCTGTGGACTCAGGTGTTATTCATCTGTACCCTGTAAATTCACTGCCATATCCCATCCTTCAAACTACAGCCATGCAAACACAACTGATTCACGGTAGAAACACGAATGGGACAGAGGTGCCCAAGCAAAGGAGTTTTGTACAAAGTCTCCTTCTGGTTTGGGATTTACTCTGGTGAGAGATTAACGTGGAATTAAAGAATTTTTTACTTAAAAAAAATCAATATCTCAAATGAGGAAAACTTAATTTTATAAATACCAAATCAAATATTTACCATAGTATAATGTAGCGATAGAAAATCATTTTCGATGTTTTCTTACAACACTGACTTCGTATCACAAACTTGTCTCTCAGTGGCTGAAAGTTAAATCACTTTATCTACCAATTTATTTGGCCACGTCCCAACTACGTTGTTCACCTCAATCAACTACATTCATTTCTTCAATAGAATAATGGCATGTCATTAACCTGATAGTTAATTAATGATATTATTAGGGAGTTAATAGTTCTAGAATGCACCTATAGTGTATATTTCTAGTTATTGGATTTTGTAAAGAAAATAACATATATGTATATAATAAGGAAATCCGCAGTTTACCAGTGTTGTGACTCCGCGATCATCCCAATTCTCAGCTTAGAAAAGCGGATATCTATTTTTTAATGGGTGAAAATGGAATGGTAACCCCCCCCCCACGGTCACGCTGACGGCATATACAACACGCATACACCGCTAAAGGCACCAGTGAAAAATGACAGATGTAAATGAAAAGGCAGGTCAGTTAGCCAATCGTGATGAATAAATACACCACGATGGTTTCCAGGAGAGACCACGTGGTGGTCGACCTGACAGGGTATATTGCCAGTAATGGGATTTGTAGTCCGCATTACTAACAATCTCTTCCCCCCCGGCGGATACCTATTTGCCACGCCAGATTCCGTATGTCAATTAAACATATTTTCTTTATTTCATACTTTAATTTAAAAGTTTTTTTCTCCTACATAATTGTCGTCTAAGTGCAAATGAGAAATACAGGACATTTTGCTGCACAAAATCCCGCAGGTTCAAAAACCATCTACTTTTAAGTAATCGGTTATTATTTTTTGTTTATCCATTACAAACAAACAGTCACATCTTTTCTCAATTATAACATTAATATTTAATTTTTGTATATAATATAAATAATTATAGATAAATGAAGTCTTCCAAACTGGTATAAATATTTTTGTATCATTTATCTCAAAAGCAACTATCCAATTTGGAAAGGAAAACTCACAAATTGTAGGTACACCGCGATTCCATTGAAATATCTCCCTATTTACATAAGGTGTATTTTTCCTTTCAATAGATAACTGAATTGAAAGTGGATGTTTACGGAGACATGCCCAAATGTTATGTTAACATTACTATGGGGCACTTTACAGTGATATGCAATACATTGTTATATTTTTATTTGTCGAATACGATACTACTTTGAACTAATGCAAATAGGGGTAAAAATGTATAATTTTTTTTTATGCAAACTTAGAAAGGCAAACAAGCTGACGGCCCATCTTATGGAGAGAGATAACCGTCGCCTATATACAGGAGCAGTACCATGGACATAACAGAGTATACTGTTTCGCACATGATACCCGCCATGCGTTACCATTCCTGAGGACTCAGGTGTTATTCCTCTGTACCCAGTAAATTCACTGCCATATCGCACCCTTCAAACTGAAACACAGCCATGCAAACACAACTGCTTCACGGTAGAAACACGAATGAGACAGAGGTGGCCAAACAAATAACTTTTGTACAAAGTCTCCCTCTGGTAAAATGGTTGGTAGTAAGCACAATGTTTAACTTGATTTATTTGTTTTAAATAGTTTTTTTTACATGGATGAAATGGAGTAATATCAGTGACGGGTTGTAAGTAAGGATGACGGCTAGTTAGCTAGCTCGTGGTAACGAAGTCATCAGTAATTAACTACAATGATTTTCAGCGTAAACCGATTGCGCTGGCAAAATTAATATACTGAAATCATTACAGTTTCCAATGTCATGACTAATTTATCGTTGAATTCGTCACGATGGGCTAACTGACCTTTTTTTTAACGCCTAGAAAATGCTTAATGCAGACCCATACACCTTGTGGGAGGTGAATGGGTACTGTGGGAATCCTCCCGTAAGGTGGGGGCGTACCCACCAAAAACCAGACGATATAACCTCGAGGTGCCATATGTCGGAGACATGGGTTCGCTTTCGCACTCACCACATCTCCGACGGCAGCGACCCGCTCCCTGATGGTAAGAGCAGGTCTCCTCTCTCAAGATAGGGTGGATGGCGTGCTCACCCTACCACTCGGGGGATGCGCCGGTATATTAACACATCCCCCAGGACCATTAGGACAATACCTTTCCACAGGTATCACCCCGACCCCAGTTGGGAAGGAGGAGGGGCGAAACTGGGCACGCCCCTTCTTCTGCGTCTGACTCGTCTGCGGCGGATTAACGGTGCGAGAGTGGCACTCTCCCGCTCCCTTTCCGCCGCCTCCTTCTGCGACATGACGGCATCGCAGAAGACGAGTATCGCTTCCCACGATCTCTCACTGCTCACCATCCACCGAACCACGGCGGGCAGCGAAAGATCGATCCCTACTACCGCGGACAAGACACGACGCTCATCGGCATACGCTGGGCACTCCTCCAGCGTGTGCATGGGCTAACTGACCTGCCTTTTCATCCTCACCTATCACCACTCACTGATACCCCGCCAGTGTATACTGATAGCGCAGGCGGAATTACCATTCTGTTATCATCCATTAAAAAAACACTAAACCTATTTACGTGACATACATACACACGCATTGGTACAGTTTTAATATCTGCGTGGATCTCTCTCTCATCCGTTGAAAAAGCCCTTTAAAAATGAATATTTATATCGGGCATTCCAATAACCCCCGCACGCTGAACCGGTACAATGGACCATTCCACGATTCACTACTATTGCCGGTGCAAGTTATAAGCGAGTTTAAAATATTTAAATTTACAATTAGCAGAATTTCAAAATAGTCTCAAGTTTGAAAATATTAGTCAGTGATTTTTTTTTATTTAAAAGTAACTTATTCCTACACATGGATTTCAGAAGTTGGAAAAGTCAATAAAATAGAACACTTCCAGATAGCGTATTAAAATTAAACATACATCAGTTTTTAAGTTACAACTTCAGATGTACAGCAGTAAGAACCGCGTCGAATTTAATGCAGTAATTATTACGTAATTCTGGAACAAACGTACATATGGACAGATAAAATTTCCAAAAATGATTATTTTTCCCACAACTGTTTCAATTAAAAAAAAATTTTTTTTAAATATCTTTTAATAAAAATATTGTCCAGTTTCGATTTTAATATATTATTTATGCATATTGTAATGATGGCTGATCTGATAAAAAGTGGTGACCATCGCCGTTAAACATGAAACTACCATAGACAAATACACTGTTACGCTTACTTTTGTACTCAGCATACATTACAGGTCCTAATGAAAAGGGTTATGATTCCGTACCTTATAGCTTTACCCTTGAAACCAAAACACAGCTATAAAGGTAGCTGCTTAGCGATAGAAATACGAGTGGAAGTATCTAGATCTAACGGCCTTATTGCTAGCAATACACTGTGTTATATTATATCTATAGGCGACTGTTAATACTTTCCATCAGGTGAGCCGTCAGCTTGTTTACCATTGTAAGTAAAAAAATAATGTTAGGTCGATCTAGCTGCAGCCTCGCTGGATACCATCGTGATCTATTCCTAATAAATTCATCACGATGAGCTTACTGACCTACTTTTGTCCTCACCTGTCATCTCTCACTGGTGCCCCACCAAGATATACCCGCAGCGCAGGAAAAGATTTTTTTTTATACAACTTAGAATGGCAAACAAGCTAACGACCCACCTAATGGAAAGTGGTAACCGTCGCCTATAGACATGAGCAATACCATGGACATAACACAGTATACTGTTTCGCCCATGATACCCTCCATACGTTGCCATTCCTGAGGACTCAGGAGTTATTCCTCTATACCCAGTAAATTCACGCCATAGCCCACCCGTCAAACCGAAACACAGCCATGCAAACACAACTGCTTCACGATAGAAACACGAATGGGACAGAGGTACCCAAGCAATCGACTTTTGTACAAAGTCTCCCTCTGGTGATATCATTAAATTGTTTATATATTTATAATAAGTTTACTATTCTAATCTTTTGGAGGAAACAATAAAGAGTATCTATCTAAAATAAAAAAAAATAAGAGTAGGACAAAGTCAGAAACCATGCATATGACCATAAAAATTTTTCGTAAGATTACTACATATATGCATTCTAAGTTCGATCGCTTGTTTACGACGCTATCTCCTATCACTTGCGCCATCGAATTCTAAAGCGCATAGCGCCGTGCGTAGATACATACAGTAGCTTTATGTCAAGTCGTACCAGTGTTATGCCGCATACTCGTTGTTAATTTTGCCGGATACTGGGTGCTTGTGGTTTATTGGTGGGACGCTGGCGGCTGATTTAAGGAGCCTGTCCCACTTGCGATGTTGATGGGACAGGATACGGGCGAATGTTAAATTCTAGTGTCTCTAGTCACCGCAATACGGTATTTAATTTATCTTTTGCTCTAGTTAGTAAATCAAACCATTCCTTTTTATTTATTAGTTTCAATTCGAATTCAAATCATTTTTATTTAAATAGACTTGTTTGGAAGAACTTTTATGTCATTATTTTTTTTTAATCTACTGCAAGGTTCGGAAGGTTGTTATCTGTTGAGTAGAGCTCGCAAGAATCTCAAGAATTACTCTTTTAAATCTCTGTTAATACATAAATATTTATATATTTTTTTATACCACTGAGGTGGCAAACAAGCATACAGCCCACCTGATGGTAAGCGGTTACCGTAGCCTATGAACGCCTGCAATACCAGAGGTATAACACGCGCGATGCCGACCCTGAAGAAACCTCTTTACCCCCTCTTTTGAAGAAGCCCATGCTGTAGTCTCTTGGGAAAACTTCGGCAGTTATTAAGTTTATATATGTTTATTTAAATGTACTATGTCTTAAATTACATGATCATTAAAAAGTCCGTTTAGATAAATAAATAAACAATAAACCAATATGTAATTTTATTTTTATTAATATTAAAAACTCGACGTAATTATTTCAACTGCGAAATACAATACTATTGTGCCTATACGAGTATACACAATACGAACACGTACTCGCAGTTTCAATCAACTGAGTGGTCATACAGACCGGCGACAGCTGCGGCGGTGACGGGTTAATTTCGTATGCTAATGTACAGGTCGCATCGCAGTATTAAAATATAGCGGCGTACTATGATCGCGAAACTCACGTTCCTGCTAAGAACAAG